GTGAAAATGGACATCATTACAGCGGGATATCAAGTCGATAAGTATTAATAAAAATTAATAATAATTAATATGTTTATTAATTACTAATTACGTACTTATTATATTATTTATATACATAATCCATTTCATCTGCGACAATTCAGTAATAAAGAACAAACTAACTTGGAAGAGATTTAATAAGGTATATTTGTAATAGTATGAAGATGAAAATGATTCTTAATTGAAATTCTCTTGCTCATCTGTTCAAGCGAGGATGATTTATAAGGTATTAATAAACCCTTAATTTATAACATAAAAATTATTTTGAAGCATTCATATAATAGCGCTGTAGGATCTCATATGCTTTTATATATGATTATAAACATAAAAAATTTTAATATTTATAATTCACATGTATAATAGCTGTATTTTTATCTCTTTTTTTAAATATTTTGCCATGTATATAACAAATATAAATTATTATTTTTTTTTAATTACAATATTTATTACAACTGTTAAATAATTTAACATCTAGCAATAATAATAAATAATAACATAAATTTAAATAAATAAGAGTACAAAGGATAGAATGTACATTAAAAAGATATACGTAATATGATAATTTAATATAAAATAAAAGCAAATAATAATAATCATAAAATTAATAAATAAAATGAATAAAAAATAATAAATTTCTGAATAATAAAATAATTTATTATTCAACATAGTAGTATTCATTTCACCATGATCCTATGTAATAAATTTTGTCGATATAATACTATGAGTTGAGTAATTTTTTCTCCGGTGCTACGTCTGATAGAGAGAACGTAGAGTACTGAAGGCAGCGCGTGAAATGGCCCACAACCTCCGAGGCCGTGAAAATATCAACGGGTCGATAGGAAACAACGATCGAAATTTAAAACAATGCTTTCGAAAATATTTTATTCAATTTATAGCATATTGAAATAACATATTCAAATCCAAGGCCGTGGTGCAATGATAAAATTTTATTTATTTCCCATTTGCGGCTTGGGCATCCTCTTAAAATTTTTGAATTGGATACTTTGAGTAATTCTTCCAATAGTTTCTATAATCTTACGTGATTTCTGGCGTTTCTCACGTCATGATTAAAAATATTAAAAAATTGATTTTAGTTAAATTAAACAATTATTATTTATGTTGATTCGAAACATTACTGTCCTTCAGTATATATAAAAATATATAATTATATGTGTATATATAAGAATACAAGCTATAAATATTTCTATAATTGTATAAATATTTTTAACAATCGTTACATATGTAAATCAACAGAAACTGGTCATTTTATTTTTATACTGATATAGTAAAATCTATTTGCTGGAGTCAAAAATATTTTATTATTTTGCTTATATTTGTTGTCATTATGCTTTAAGAAATTTTTTCAACATATACAATGGTTCTAGAAAAATATTCCGAACCAACTCTCGCTATCCATTTTTTACATATATTTCTGGGTAAAGTGGTGTTTATCTTACGATATTGGTTATTGTATGTAACAAATCATAATAACATTATACAATATAACTTTGTAGTAGGTTGATATCTGTATTTTCATGTACGCATGCACCGTCCCGACCTATACGATCAATAGGTAAACCGCGCAACAGAATCGGAATTCGCTACGTCAACAGAGTAGTACTCATATTTGATACTAATTTTTGATAGAAATTAATAGCTTTTGTATTATATTCCTTTATTCATACAAAATACCTTATGGTTTTCCCAAAAAATAGTGATATTAATTCTGTCACGATTATGCTCTTTACATATATAAAAAACTTTAATTAGGCAAGTGTATTAGATATTTTATATACAAAATGCCTAATACTCTTGCCTAATTCAAGGTTTTTTTATTTTTTTTCATAATAACAATCTGAACATTGAATACATTCAATGAGTTACATATTTTTATTTTCAATAATTAAATATAATTATAGATAGTAGTTACCCCAGTGGGTAATTACTATTAGATACAATTTATTGGATCCAATTAATAGATCATAATTTTTAAGTTTTCTTAATCCAGGTGTTAAGGAGCAGCGGTGCAACGAGTGAATTTTGATAATTTTTTAATTTGTGATGATGCTTGATGGATCTTCTTTTTTAAAGTCTTTGATATATAGCACATTCAGATAATCATGCAGAGATTAATTGAATTAATTAAAGAAATGGCTGCATTTTTATACTTGTGATAATTTTATTACAATACATTTGAAACTTGAATTTATAAACATTTTTTTTTCGTATATCCTTTTTTACTAATAATAATATTGAGATATATACTATGTATGGATCATACATACATAGTATACTTACATTCATTTATACTTGTTTATCTTCGGTATAGATATTTTCTATCTTTTCTCATACCAAATACGTAACTGAATGATTGTGAGATACATATACAAAATATATATTTTAACTAGTGGTGCATGGCATCGTATCTTAATGCAAACTTTTTGTACTATAAAATAAAAATTTTAACAGCTCAGAAAAGAAAAATTAGATTTTTTTGAAAATTTTTGACTTTTTTTTAATAATTTTGAAATTTTTAAAAACATTTCAAAAATTTGAATATTGAAGAATGCCTGTTCTGAAAATACTCATTTTTTTGAAAACTTAAAATTTTCTTGAAAATTATTATTATTTTTATTCTTTTTTTTCTGAAAATTTTTGAACTTCTTTAAAGTTTTTGATAACCATTTATTCGGTTGATTCAAATTACAAATCAATTTTCATTTTCGATTTTTGGACGATTACTATAACTTACCCTACAGAAAGTTAATTAATGGATGCTGTAAATGCTGTTAATTAATGGATGCATAAAATGCTGTTATGATCGTTTGTAATTTTTGCCTTTAACTTATTATATATAAGCTTCCACTATCTTTCATTTCCACTCATTTAAAATTTTGTTCATACCAGTACCATACCAATTTTGTTACATTTGTTATTTTTTGCAATTGATATTCTTTGTATGTATATGGATTTTTATATAAGTATTCTCATACTAGTTCGTATTCATATACAAATTTATATTTCTATTCCTATTCGGATTTGGATTTGTATTTATATTTAATTTATATTCGTACACAGTTCTACGTGAAATACTTTAATACCTGTGCTATTTGCACCTGTGTCTGGTGCTTAAATTTGTAATTGTGTGATAGTGTCTTGTATGAGTATTTTGAGTATATATATATATATATATATATATATATATATATATATATATATATATATTATATGTGTGTGTGTATGTGTTCGTGTGTATGTACTTACACATATCAGTTTTTACACTTGTTTCTACATGCAACTTTTTGTCTAATAGTTTTATAACACCATAATTTTATATGCTGCTCGTGGGGGGGTCAACTTTAGACAAATGCGCTTTGACCTGCATTTAATTTGTTTTAGTGTTATCCGCATTCAATAGATGGTGTACTGTTCTTAAATCTATCGCTATAATACATGTTTGTCTCTTCCTAAGGAGATGGTTCACTTATTATGATACAAATACTTTAAACAGTCAATCAATTTTTTCATTATATATTTTTGTGAAAACATATTTGTGATTTAGTGAAACGTGCTCCAGTTGGTGGCGCCTCTATGTATTGCGTTTATCTATGGCGTTGCTTTTACATTCATTATGAGAAATAATTAATTTAAATGTATATGAATCTAAGAATTGTACTATTACTTTACCTGAGCTTTTTTCTTTACAATTGTATGTGAGGATAATAAAAAATTATCACATTTTGAAATGACAATAAAACTTCATTCGCAGTGAAAATTATTTATAATTAGTATATTATTTATGAATTTTCAATTAAGAAATGAAAAATTTTATAAAAATTTTATAAAGAATACTACTATTCATTTTTTATATTTAGCGCGTTTACGTGCTGCCCTCACTTCATACTACTAACATGCACTAAACAAAAGTGAGTCCAATCCGCATATTATTAATATTTTTATCTATGGATGTCAGCAGTCAGTTGTCAGTTTTGTTTATTTATGCTAAACAAACATGCTTGGAAGTTAAAATTTAAATCATTCTTGTTAAAATAATGAATGAAAACAAATAAAAATTCACATGAATAGTACATTTTTCAGTTTGGAACTCAGAAATTTATGTTCCGGCTAACGAAAATGCTTCAAATAATTGCATTTTCGAATATAAGCGTACCGTTCCTCAAATACTCCAACCTGCCAAAAAGTACAAGAAAAAAAGAAAACAATACTTCGAAGTGATTTACTATACAAACCATTAAAAATGGCCGGAATAAATAAAAGTATAAATGTTTGTTGCAATAAGAGTAGATCCAATAATTCAAATGAAATATATAATAGTTCAAATAACAAAAGATTTGATATTGTTGGTATTGTTATATCATTGAGCATTCTTTCAGCTGATTTAGTTATAGGTATATATTTTGATGTAAATATGTTTTTAATCATGTATTTTTAATTAATTTTATATGAATATTTTTAGATGGTGTTTTGATATTAGACTACTACAAACGATTTAAGAATGAAATAATTTTCTTGTTATTATTTCATATAGTGTTATTAATTACCTTTCAAATTCTGTCTATGAAATGGTATTTAACAAAGCATATTAATGACAAAATCCAATGGATATCACATTGTTGTCTTTTTGGTATAACTTATAGGTAATTATATAGAAAACATTTAAAATTTGCATTTATTTATTTACAATTTGAATGCAAAATAATATATAATTACAGGTATATTTCACTGCTACAAACATATATACAAAATATCGATATAAAGACTGAAATCACATCTGTCATTTATCATAGCAGGCATGAAGTGTATAAATTACACATATTATATCTTTTAGTAAAATCAGTTCCACAAAGTATTTTCAATACTTGCATTATAATTAATGAGAAAATTTGGATACCTAACATAGGTATGTATCGAACTCATTTATTTTAAATATGTGAATTGTTTCATTTCATAGTCAAGTCATAGTACCAATTCGGAGAATACCCAAAAATTAAAAAATCTCTTTCATAAAGTTTGAAAATATCTCGTAACAAATGTTCTTTAACCTTACTAAAATATTGTTTAGATATATTGTGATTAGTACGGCCATTTGGATTAATGTTATCAACATCCCTATTATCTTTAATAGTTCTTGATACATTCAAAACTTTGAATAAGTACTTTTCCTCTATGTGTAAATTATCCAGCTTGAGTATATAATCATATTCTATGCCACAAGGATCACATTCAATGTAATAAGGTCTCCAATGCTCATCAAAATTTTTCTCACTTATGATAAATTTTAGAAATTGACTAAATGTTGGCTGCTTTACTGAATTTATTCCTGTTCGTTCATTTTGATAGCTTGAAATAATGTGATTGCCATACTTTCTGTAGTAATAACTTCTGTTAGGTCTTTCAAACTTGTCCCGATATGCTGATAATAGTCTTTCGAAAGGATGGCGTGTAGATATTACTTTTATTGATTTCTGTATTGCCTGCAAGATTAATAATTGATTATTTTATATATATATATATATATATATATATATATATTAAAAGAAATTGCATCAAATAAATATACTTTATATTTGTCTTCGAGTGATAATCCAGTCTCGTAAAGTTGCCTTGTATAAGATGATATATGAATTTTATCTTTTAAAAATTCCCAAATGGTTCGGTCAAATTTTTTTGATGTACTTGCCATGGTCCATAACCAATGAGTCGAGCCACCTTTATAAACAGGACACCAGGAAAAATTATGTTCTCTAATTTCATAGAAAAGTAAAAATCATGATAAAAAATTTATATCAATCACAAATATTTATATAATTAATGAAATAATCACAAATATTATATAATTAATATCATATAAAGAATTGTGTTCAACTAAATTGGAACAAAATATAAAATGCAAAAAATTGCACATACTTATCTAATATAATATTTTTTATGGCCAATGTGTTCTTTGATGATGTTCTTTTATATTCGGAACATTGTGTTTTTAACGTTTCACGCCGATTTACCATAATTGATTCAAATAGTTTCTAAAAACAAATATTTTATTTGGTATACTATTTTTTAGGTTTAATATATTTTTTTATAATTTTTTCATTTACTGACCTCATTAAAATTTGTTTCCATTTTTACAATTTCTATGCAGATTGATATTAATATAAATAAATATATTTTATTTGCTTGCTGCATTGTGAATGTTTTTCAAATTTTATTCATACTAATATTATATTTGAATTGAACTTATAAGCAATTATAAATTTTATGTGGAAAACACTATTTTTATTGATTAAAAATTCTACTTGGTACACTATTTTTCTAATAAATCACACCATTGATTATTAATTGATATATAATTTTTATTTACTTGTTGTTCTGGAACTGGAACTTTATTATGGATGTTGATATTTCTATATACATATTTTTAAGCGAACTATGTCGACACAATTTGATCAGCACCGTTCAAGTTCAAATATCACATTGTTTATTGTCAGTCTCAGAACTGTTTCTGATAACAACTATCATATTTCCGGTTATCATTGCAGCCCTAAATTGAGAGGAAACCAAATGCAGTTTGAAATCAGTTTATCTCAAACATAAATAATTTAATCGCAAAGCGATCACATGTTATTTCCGATCTTTTGTTTAGAAAAAGTTTATATCAGGTTCATTTGTAACGTTTGTAACGTTTGAAGAAGTTTGTTTTCGTCAGAAAATCAGCCTTGCTAATTTTGTTTTCCCGACGTTTCGAGCCATTCTGAATCGTTTGGGACCAAAATTCGATGTGTGTATGTGCTTGCGGGCTAAGTTTCAGTTTCTTGTCGGTGTTTTCTAAAAAACGGCTGAATCCATCTAAAAATTTAAGGCAAAAACTCGATAAAGACTCGCGCTGGTTATCAACTTCACATAGGGTAGTTTTTGTAATGGGCCGAAAATCGAAAATGAAAATTTTTGCATATCTTTACATTTTGAAGGTTTCTGAACATTTTTGTATACCTCAGAAAAAATGGATGTCAATGTGTGTGTTTTGTGTGTCCGCATTTTTTCGTCCACGTTTTTAGGCGCACTGATCAACCGATTTGAATGGTTCCTATTCGAATCCTATTGATAGGGAGATGTACTGATTAGTTTTTGGCAACGGCAGATCCAGCCGTTACGGAGATACGGAGCAAAGAGTTCAGAAAATAGAAATCGAGTTTTTGAAAGAACGGAGCATCCGATTTGAATGATCTAAAAAATATTCAATTTGTAATGATGGGAAGAAGTGGTGATAATTTTTTGGCAAAGGCAGGTTTAGTCGTTTCGAAAATACAGAGCTGATTTTACAAAAAATGGCAGTTTTTGAGAGAAATAAGCATCCGATTTGAATGATTCAAAAAACTCTCTGCTTGTGTTGGTTTTATTATTATTTTAATTTTTGTTTTTAAATAAATTTTTTTTGTATAACGAAAATAATTCGGATTTTAATTTTAATCCTGGTTAAAGTTCTAATGCTCACTTACATACTTTAAATAAATAATTTTAACTTTGTAATTCAGTTTATATAATTCATATAAACATTAGACAATGTTATAGTATTTATAATAATCTATTTGAAAACATTTAATATTCCTCGAACATTTTGCTCGGTACGGGAAGTTCCAGCAATTTGCCTTAAGGCACGATGCCAAACACCACTAATTTTGTGCGACGATAGGCCGAGCCGTTTTTCAGCAGATAAATGCAAAACTTTTCGTTCAGATTCAGACAAAAATCCTGAATCGTTTTTAAAATTTCAGAAAGTGATCAAGAGATCAGTTGCGAATCTTGGTTATTTTTTTTTGATAATCATCGGCCGTGATGTTTCTTTGTTAAATTATTATTTTTGGCTTTTTTTAATAAAACTTCATATGACAATGATAAGCTCATGGTCTGGATTTCAGATCTAAACAAACATCCTAAAATATTATAACTAGCTCTTCGAAATGTGTTTGAATTATGGAAACTACACTTCGATCAATATAATAACATATGAAAGTTTGAAAGATATAATTGTGAAATCGCACTGATTACATTCTTGTGAAATCGAAAAATTTATTTCAAAAATTAACCGTTGGAAATTTTATCTAAATAGCTTCATCTCAAATTCTTATTCATTAAGTCGATTTTTACACGTTTCAAAAAGTTCGTGTAACATTCATTAAGACAAAATGCTATTTACGAAAAGTAAGTTAAGAATCGAGAGTTAAGATTTTCACTACCATCCAGAAAGGATGTAGTGAAAATCTATAAAAAAATTTATGAGAAACTAGTAAGGACTTAACAAGCACCTCTTTCAAATCTATCAAGAATCTAATAAGAAACTAGTACGGATCTATTAGAGTTCTTTCATTATTATGTACGGAGTATTTTTTTATTAGATCGCTTAGAAACTTGAATAAGAAGCTTTTACGATGTGTAACATAGAAAATGCTATTATATTATTCATATTATAATACTATTTGCAGCTTCTTCTATGTTTCTGATGTCGGTGTCGATAGTATGGATTTTAATTCAATATTTGAGATCCCGCCCGATCGCTAAAGAAACTCTGGCATGCGGTGTGAAATCGCAATTTATTTTCTATTTGTTTTCGAATATCTTCATGTTAACTGGACGAATTGCTTTATTTATACTTATAATAATGTGCTTCCAATTTTGGACTTTAGTTTTAATTGGTAAGAGTAATATTATTAACTTGTTTTATGGGTACTTTAGTAAAGAAGATTATATTCTTTTACACTTTTACTACAGTACTTTTCATCAATCAGTCATAATCTTTCAATAAAAAAATTTTTAGGTTTGCATTGGACTTCTAGCACTGTGTGGACTTTTAGCAAGTCTGAATCAAATGGTTTATCGCTTGCCAATATTCTATACAATATTGTTATTGGATTATCGAATTGTTTTGTTTTGATAGATTTTAATAACAATTTGGAAATTCTTCAGATATTGCTATATTATCTAATTGTTATAATCGAAAATATATGTTGTATTACTCTGTGTTTTATACTAAAAACCGATACTCTTCATAAACTTTTAATAATTTTGACTTCATTAACGATGAGTAGTACAATTATGAGTGCGGGCACAATTTTTCTTTACCATAAATATTTTTATAATATAAATGGTAAAATAAAATTTAAGAAAAAATCAGCGTTCGACGTAGAAAATGTCGAAAACAATGTGGCAAATGCAGAAATTGAAAAAAATAACAGAAAATCTGTGAAGCGAAGTAACTGCCCTAATGATAAATCGGAAAGCGGATCTAAAGATATTTCAGATGCGGAAATTACTGATAGAAAATTACTTTTAGAAAACTTGGTTGCCAGATCTGGTACGCCGACTTTTATATGTACTCCAATACTAGATGAAAACACATCGAACGATATTTTATTCCATTCGATTATTAATGAGTCCGGTCTGAATGAAGAAATGAGCAATGATGAATCTATAACTAATTTAAAAAATAAGTTAAAACGTCGTGGAATTTGTTCAGTGAGTGATCTCGGTCTAAAACCAGTTGATTCTGATGAAAACGATATCTTTATTGAAGATATTGACAAAATTTGTGATCTGTCTGTGAGCAAAAGACGAGGTATATGTTCGTCTGTAGAATTAGAACTGTATAATAAAATACAATTAGACAATAATATTAATAAAGTAGATACCGCAGTTGATTTACAAAAAAAGAGAAAGCCTATTTATGTTACGTTTGACAATAATGATATAGAAATAATATCAATTAATAATGTGCCTTTAGATGGTAGGTTGGAATTCGTTGATGAAAACTGTGAAGTGGAAAGTAAAATATCAGATGATAGTAAATATACATTAATTTTAAGTGCACCTAGTGAAATTATGTCTGCACACGATTATGAAAATGTTTGCGCTGTGAATATAGCCAGAGAATTTTGGGGTTTACGGTCTTGGCAAGGATATTCAGATATTGAAACTTGGTTACATGACGATAGCATTGTAAGAGATCAAGACAATATAACAAGTACTGTAGCAACAAGTACGTCTTCTGAAATTAGTTCAAATGACGCATTTGAAAATGCTTCTATGACCACAGATAATATGTGTGTTCTATTAGATAACAGTAAACCAATTGATATGAGTAAAATTAATCATAAACGTTTTAAGAGTTTTGACTGTAAGGAAGATTTATTCAATATTAAACCTTATATAATTGATCAAAATGGTGGTTTTCTACCAGCAGCTACGTTGTCGCCGATAAAAGAAGAATTAGAAGAAAGTCCAGAGAAAAATGAGAGCGGTAGTACTCTTGTTACGACCATAGACGTTATTCGCAAGAACACCGATATCAATTCTCCAAGATATATTTATCATAGAACTGAAAATATTCTTGAATCTCCTACCAGCAATAAATCTATCTATAAACCAAGATCTCTTTGGCCTACCGACAACATTACAAATTCGTTGCCGAAATCCACTAAACCTATATATGAAAATAATTCCATTGTTAGAAACAAATTAATCGCCAATTCAAAAATATTAATGAACCTCTGTGATAACGAGCTGAAAAACTGTGATAACTTCACAAATATTATGTATCTAGATAAACCAATTATATCATCTTCACTACAGTCTCTTGTATCAAGTTCTTCCAGTGAGGATATATTATCTATATCAGAAATCGCTAGATGTTTTCCTTTAGTAAAGAAACATACGGGTAGACCAAGAAGGAAATTCTCTTTAATAAGAGATCGATTTGAAATGTCCCTGAGAAAGCAAGTTGATTTTCATAATGATTTGAAGAAGTCAAAATATAGAGAAAATGATATTAATGTGCCTAATATGTAAATAAATTTGTTAGATACTCATATTTGTATAAAAATAAAATTGAATTTAAGTTTTAAATAAAGACACCATTATATTTATAATGTAATGTATTCATTTTATGTTACTTGACTTGATGTGCATTATATATATATATATTTTAAATAAGTACATATGTTAAACATATAATGTATTAAGGCATTCTTATTCATGATTTTTATAAATAACTACTAGTCTTATTTATAAATTACATAGTATATTTGAAAAATCAAATTGTTTCTTCAAACTTCGTTGAAGTTGCAAATTGTTACATACACAAAAATTCAATATACCATTTAATATTAAATGTAAACCGGCATAAAATTAAACACATTTTTTTAAACTTCTTAATATTAATAGAATTAGATCTAAAAAATAATAAAAAATATTTGTCAATTATAATCTATAATTATTTTTTTGTATTCTTTGCACTTCTTTCTACTTCTGTTTTTAAATTCAAGCATATTTGTGAGTCATCAAAGAATATTTATGATGATAAATATCATATAATTTAATATTACGTCATGGATCATATATGACTACAATCATTCTTAGCAAAAAAAAAAAAAAAGATAAAATACTCTTTAAAATGCAATATAATTTATTTAATTGTGGTATCTAAAAAGTGCATTAAAATTACATCTTTAACAGTAGATAATAACAGGTAATGAAAGATAAAAAAATAAGTACATATATCATATTAAAAGTAAATAAGTTTAATTGTGCCTATGTACTTATTTTCAGATTTTCTACTACCAATATTTTTAGATTCATAATATCTCGAGTTAGTTTGTCATATTCACTTATAAAAATACTATAGATAATGAGTTATTTTTTAGTTTACATATTCAGTAAAATAATTTCTCATCTCTTCATTAAAATATAAAAATCATAATTATCAAGAAAAGGAATGTTTTAAATTTGTACATTTTGGTGTCTTAATATTTGAAGAGAACTAACAAAAACAATTTATAAAACTTGAATTTGATTTGAAATTCAATCCAAATTAATAATATCACATAATTTATGACTAGTATTTTTTCAGATAAGCTTACAAGTTTATAACTGTGTAAGTTAAGTGGAATGTGATTTTATAAATTAGGGCTTTGCAAAAACACTTGGTCTTTTATCTATGCTCAGTTTATAAGTATCAAAGCTCTTACCTTTTTATATATTCCGCATATACATGCATAGATATATTTTTATGTGTATGTCTTTGTTCAATGTGTGAATATGCATAGGTAAAATATCATGAATTCTTGAAGCCTGGAATGCGCAATGATGTTTCAAAGTTATAGTAGTTTTTTGATTTAGTATGAACTGCTTTATATTCAAATATAAACCTAAACTTTGATACCAAAATTGCATAAAATGCTCTTGTCGTTTAAGTAGATGATATTTGTTATATAGCAGTGGATTGAGGCGCTTGTATGTTAGCAACTCTAGAACTTCGAAATCTTGTTAAATGTCTCAAGTTATTTAACATTGAATGCATGTAAAATCTATAAAAATAATATTAATATTACTTACATATTACATATTTATGAATGTATGTATGTAAGGGATTATGAAGAACTCACTTTTTGTTGTTTAATAATGCATCATCTTCAGGAATAAAAAGAAAAGATACAAATAGACCTATCAAACATGCTACACAATGAAGGAAAAATATTCCGGATATTGAAAATGTATCTGAAACGTGAAAAAAATTAATACAAAAATATTTCAAATGTTTAATAAATATCATACCTATAAAATTTGGAAACATGTTTTGTAAAATTAGTGTACTGAGCCAATGTATTCCAATCATTATTCCAATAAGATTCCCTTTTATATTGTTTGGTGCGATTTCGGATAATGTGATCCAGTATATAAAATTAGAAGCAAGTGCATTTCCAGATTCATATAAGAATATTAATATTAATTTAGCTGCTTTAGATGGCACAGAATCATCCGACCATGGACCATTATTATGATTGCAATCAAACAAAAAGTCGATAGTGTTAGCTGTTTGAGTTTCAGCCGTCATTGCAAGTGGAGTCGGCAAAAATGGATAAGGAGTTTTATCTTCCATTAATGACAAATGAGTTAACTTTTTCTGTTTATGTGTAATAAATTCAGGCTCAATTACATAGCTCATGTCCATACCAATAAGTACTCTATGGCAATTTTGTAATGTATTTTCATTCATCCAAGAATTTTCCCTGAATTCTTGTAAATTTAATGAGTTGTCATATGAGTCATTAAATGATAAAATGCCTAGTAATGGCAAAGTGATGGCCATTATTGCTGTCCCAAGTATTAAAGAAGAACGTCTACCTATTTTATCTATCGTGAACATTAAAATTGCAGTTGTTACAGCCTAAAATCAATTAAACAATCAAATACAACTAATTATTTTGAATAAATTATGGTCATTTAAAATACCCTCAAGTGATTTAATATTATCACTGCCATATTCTGTTGATATTTTGAGCACACCCCAAACATCCCCAATATTATGGTCGAATAGTATCTTACAGTAGCATGGCCCATCATTTCACATAAAACAACTAATGAAATTCCAAGAATAATTGTTTGTATGGTGTTAGAGCTATAAAACATTTGATGGTTCAATAATAATTAACTTATGAACATATATGTGATAATTTCATTTATACTGACCTATATTTCGAAGGTGTGAGATTTGCAGTTTGTTGTCCATTTTTCAAATTATAATTTGTTCTTGGAAGCAATAGTAATAGCACAAAAGTTACAACAGATACAACAGATGTCAATCCTTGAAACATATCAGTATTAGAATAATTTAGCATCTGTATTACATTCAAATTTTAAAAATTTTAGTATAATATTTACCAAACTCAGATCTCCATGATATTCGAGAAAAGCTCATATAAGTAAGAACTATGTAGCTAATGGTTGAAAATAAAGACATCAGCAGCATTAGTTGATATTTTTCTGATTATATGAACTAGTTATGTTGATATATGTGTGATAAACAAGAGTGATCCTGAAAATAGTAAAATGTAAGTTTATAGGTATAAAATTGAATAATTCTAGTTTGCAAAATAGTGGAAAAAATGTTAGGTAAGAATAAAGCAGATATATAAATAATATAGTAACATTACCAGCAAATCAGCAAGAATTCTTGAGCTCAAAAATATTATAAATGATTCCGTTAGAGAGCTCATAAGTGAACAAGAAAACAATAACGAAGAACAGAATGAAAGTACAGCTCTTGCCACCAAATTTATTGACCAATGATCCTAATATAAAA